TACCAACATAAGAACAGCAACAAACCAACCCACTGAAAAGTCAAAGCAATATACTTATGGCTCTGTAAAATCCAGTCCTGTGGACACATTATTTCAAAGAGGTAACTCTCAGCCAGGTGCGGTGGCTCACACCTGTAATCCCAGCACTTTGGGAGGCTGAGGCGGGTGGATCACTTGAGGTCAGGAGTTTGAGACCAGCCTGGCCAACATGGTGAAACCCTGTCTCTATTAAAAATGCAAAAATTAGTCAGGCATGGTGACGGGTGCCTGTAATCCCAGCTACTGGGGAGGCTGAGGCAGGAGAATTGCTTGAACCCAGGAGGCAGAGGTTGCAGTGAGCCGAGATTGTACCATTGCATTCCAGCCCGGGTGACATGAGCGAAACTCTGTCTCAAAGAAAAGACTTCCTCTCAAGCTTGGCGTTTGGTCGATGGGGACCCATGGGGGTTCAACATGTGTATCGAGAAGTGTTATTTCTGTTTGGGGCCCATCCACCCTGGCCATGGCACAATGTTCATCTGCAATGATTGCAAGGTGTTCAGATTTTGTAAATCTAAATGTCATTAAAAACTTTAAAAAGAAGTGCAATCCTCACAAAGTTAGGTGGACCAAAGCATTCTGGAAAGCAGCTGGTAAAGGGCTTACAGTGGATAATTCATTTGAATTTGAAAAATGTAGAAATGAACCTATCAAACACCAGCGAGAGCTATGAAATAAAACTACTGATGTAATGAAGAAGACTGAAGAGATCAAACAGAAACACCAAGCTAAATGTATAATGAACAGATTGAAGAAAAATAAAGAGCTACAGAAAGTTCAGGGTATCAAAGAAGTTAAGCAAAACATCCATGTTATCCAAGCCCCTCTTGCCGGCAAAGGGAAGCAGCTGGAAGAGAACACGGTACAGCAGCTACAAGAGGATGTGGACATGGAAGATGCTTCTTAAAAATCTCTGTAACCATTTCCTTTATGTACATTTGAAAACACCCTTTGGAGACTTGAAACTGCTAAATTATTAGTTTATTTTTTACATAAGGTCACTTAAATGAAAAGTGATTAAAATATGTTTTTCCTACATTGCCATCTACAACACATCATATATTATGGATGTTAGATTGCAACTCAGTGTTAAATCATGAAAATTCTACTTATAACTATAGAAATGAATTGTGGACGTAAAATGGTTATACTATTTGGATAATGGCACTAGGCAGCATTTGTATAATAACTAATGGGAAAAATTCATGGCTAGTGATGTATAAAATAAAATATTCTTTGCAGTAAAATACTCCCTTTATTAATGTTATAGAAGGGAGGATACAACAAGGAACTAACAATTTGTATGACAGTATCAACTATTATTTTGATTTTAGAATTTCCTGTTTTGCTTTATTTGCATCTTGGAAGAGCATAATGACATTGTTTGATGAAGCCTAATTATGCTGGACTGTTTTGAGCTGGTTTAGTTGTGGTAGTTGTGGATGTTGGGGATGAGAACTGAATAATCTTTGCCTGAAATGACACTACACTCTAGAATTTCCACTCTGGAGAACACTCAGTTCTAACTTGTGATTCCTGGTAGAACAAACTTTATTTTTCTAGCCTAGCAATGATCTAGAAGCAGAGGAATCCCAGTGCCTTTTAAAAGTTATTATGTGGTTTTCTTTTAAAAAGCTCCTGTTTTTGGAAAGTAGAATTTATGGGTACAACATCTGTTTATTATTTGCACATAAAATAAAACCATTTAAAAAGTGGAAAAAAAAAAAAAAAACCAGGACAATGAATGTTCCTGGCACATTGGAGAGGCAGTCCAGTCTCTGGATTCACAGTGTGGGTAGTGGAGTGGACTGCCTGGTTTCAAATCCTGGCTCTGCCACTTGCTGTCTGTGTGACCTTGCGTAAGTGACTTAACTTCTCTTCGCCTTTGTTTTCCCATATGTAAAGTGGAAGCAATGGCAATATGTACTTCATGGACTGAATGAACTAATGCACATAATTCAGTTGTGCAGGGCAGGGTGTACAGCTCTCCGCTGTTACCTGTTGTTAGCCCTAATAAACTGATTTTAGGAGGGTATGAGTACATGTCATTTTTAAGATAATCTATTATGATCCCTTAGGCTGACGGCAACTTGAAAATGCCTCTATGGTAATACTTCTATCACTTTGGGGGTAATTAAATGTTCACATGTTGGTTTTCTCCACTAGATTGTGAACTCAGTGGATTTTAGTCATCTTTGTCAACAAAGTACATTTAAGGAAACATTTATCAGAATTGGGAATCACACTGATTTACTAATTACTGGGAGAGACATTTTAATTTTGGCTAAAATGCATACTTTGAACAGAAAACATCTTTTTTTTTTCCAATTAAAAGAATGAACAGGTAACTCTTAATCTACAATACTTTGGTCTAATAATATTACCATGAATCAACTTTTTAGATCATCTGTGTCCTAAAGAAGTTTTCATGGGGAGTTCTGATTGAACTGGGACTTTTGGCTGAAATGTCACCATGCTGAGATCAGAGAAAACAGCAACTTGGGGTTCAAACTGAAAATTAGCTGCAAGTTGAGATCGACATCATTTATAGTTGGTGGAAGTTCTAATTCATAATAGAATAGCTCCAGGTAGCAGATCAACCCTACGCTTCTGGTTTTGAAAGACTCTGGTGAAATGTAGTGAATGCAACCTTAGCTACTTTATCAAGAACTGAGACTTATTTAATCCAGATTGGAAATAAGGGTTTATGATAGTCCGAGAAGTAATGAAGTTTCTGTTTTCATGTAAACTACGTAAGCACCAAGAGCAGCAAACCAGAAAAATGTCCCCCAAAACAGAAGAATGGCTTCTAAATATATGTTTTTTTCTAAGTTTCATTTTAAGCAACAGACGAGTATTTAACTAAATTATTCTCTACTGAGACTACTAAAATGGCTTTTCTATTGCTATCAGGATGTAATTTCAGATCCACTCAATTTCATGAAATTGACTGAGATTCAAATCATAGATCTGGTATATTTTAAATGATGCTGCATGCACTAGGCAATATTGATGCTGATTATGACACCGGAGTAGCTGGACTCAGGTAATTTAGTTAAGAGTATTAAATCAGAGACGCCAAATTAATTTATTAGACATGTTCATGAATATTTCCAAAATTATTATGAGGCTTGATGAATGAAAACTTTCCCTTTTTCTTATTGTTCATTGGTGACACAAATTTGGTCAGATAAATATTTAGAATATAAGATTTCCAGAATTATAAAACCAGGGAGAACTCTAAAGTGCATCTAGTCTAATGTTCTCATTTTATATGTAAGAAAACAGAGGATCGGGGAAGCAGGAGAATGTAGTGGTTAAAAGCCTGGGCTCTGGAGTCAGACAGACCTGAGTTCCAGTCTCAGATTGGCAAGTTATTCCCCGTGTGACCTTGAGTAAGTTATTCAACCTCTGTAAGCCTCCATGTCTTCATCTGTAAAATGGGGACAATAATTGTACTAGGGGACACTGTAAGGACTCAGTGAATGTTAGTAGCTATCATATTATTTTTATGAATAACAAGTGACTCCTAAGGCAAATAAGCAGCAATAGAACTAGAACTTAAGAGTTTCTGACACATACAGAAGCTTTTTTTCATCTAAACACAGTACCTAAGTTAAAAATTCACTGGTACTGATAATTTAAGTACTGTATAACTCTATATTAAATAGAAGGATAACTATTTCAGTCTTTTTTGCTATTAATTGATCAAAATATTAGTGATTACATATTGAAGTCTCAATTTCATGAAGATTCACACATATTTAGCTTTCCATAAACAAATGGATATTTCATGTTTACCTTCATAGCTGTTTCAGTGTAATTATATGCTCTTAAATTATTTTCCACCAAAAGCTGCTCATATAAAATAAACAACAAGGTATATTGGCCGTAAATAAAAGTTAGCATTCCACTTACTAATGACCTTAAATTTGACTTTAGTTAGATGCTATATTGAGTAAGTCTGATATTCTTGATTTGTGCAGTTACTCAGATACCACCATAGCCTCTATACACCTGCTATGGAGGAAGCAAGAACAAAGGACACACAAAAGGAAAAGGTGGGTCTGCAATATGAGTTAGAGTTGCTTTGGCTAAAATAGACACCTAGGAATCAAGCAGCCACTAATCACAGATATTTGGAATAGCTATTTTTTGTGTGTGTGTGACAGAGTTTCACTCTTGTCACCCAGGCTGGAGCACAATGGCACGATTTCAGCTCACTGCAACCTCTGCCTTCAGGTTCAAGTGATTCTCCTGCCTCAACCTCCCAAGTAGCTGGGATTACAGGTGCGCACCACCATGCCTGGCTAATTTTTGTATTTTTAGTAGAGAAGGGGTTTTGCCATGTTGGCCAGGCTGGTCTTGAACTCCTGATCTCAGGTGATCCACCTGCCTTGACCTCCTGAAGTGCTGGGATTACAGACGTGAGCCACTGTGCTCGGCCTGGAATTGCCATTTTTGGTCTACATATGCACTTAAATAGTTCATTCCACTCGAAGTTGAATATTTTTCCTAAATTTTAAAAAAACTGATAAGAAATTGCATAAAGAATATTAGCTTTATATAATATGCTCCTAATTCTTCTGCTTTTGATAATTTTAGTTAATTGGTGATCTTTTCAGTAAATATTCTCAGACTATCGAGTGAGTGCTTAAAACCTTTTCTCGTAATAAAGATCATTTTTCTAATCTCGAAAATGATACAATTTTAAATCTTTAAAAATAACTAAGAACAAATATAACATAGTACAAATATAGCAAATCGACATTAACTCAAACTATAGTGAGATAAGTTCAAGTCTAAACATGCAGAAAGTGAGAGCACCTTTTTATGTAATACCAGTGTGATTCAGCAGACCAACAGGTGAAGAAAATAGTAATTTGAAACGTGGCAATTTGTATCCATACCCGGTATTTAGTATTTCAGCTACTAGAAATAAAGTAATTTGGCAGACTTACCCGCATTTTTGCACAAGCATCTTGGGTTGACTCTGTCCCCCTAAGCTCTTTTATCAGCATAGAACCTAAATACTAAAATACAAAAAAAAAAAAAAATTCAATGATTTATGAAATGGAATATAAATATGAGCAACGTTTTAAAAACAAATTGTGGAAGTATTACTGGCTAGGTTTCCTGGCTGTAAGTTGTTGCATAACTTTAAAAAACTGACAGTAACTAATCCTAACAAATAAATGCATTCATAGAGAAAATGCAGCAGAATTAACCATAAGTTCTGGGGGCTGTAATTGCTCTTTATAATGAAACTGCAGCATCTTCTAAAGATGCCGTCTTTCAAATCATATTTAACTGCAAAATGGGGGCATCTAAAAATGTTTTCCCCTTTTTTCAGGCAGCAATGTCTGCAAAAATAAATCACACTACTATCTCTGTAATTACAGGGTTGCATGAGACAGCTGAGAAGCTAAGCAACATGTCCCCCATTTGGGCTTATTCTGCTGCATAGGTAATTAATGTTAGGCTTTTAGGCAGAGATGCAGTTTTGGACCTTTTTCATTCACAGCTGTGTGCCCTATGGTTGATCCACCTGAAAACGGAATGGGAGGGTCGGGGGAGGGAGAGAGGCATTCTCAGTTGTTTCACGGGGGAAGAGAGCTGGGTTCCCGGTGCAAAGTGCCACCTGGAGGGCTGAATGGAGCTAGAAGGATGACAAAGTCTCCCAAGAATTGCCAACCACTTTGCTGTTAGAAGACCAGATCCCATACTGTATCATCCTGGTACAAAATGCCCCCCATACTCCAGCTTCTGGCTGGGGCCAAATGGTTTCAAACAAAATGTCTGATTTGCCTTTCTATCAATTGACTCCTCTTCAACCTTTTGAAGCTTTAGTAGGGGTTTTCTCTTTTGTCATTCCTCCACCCCTTGCCCTTTCCTCACATCCCCAAAGAGCTCTATATATGATTTTTAAAAAAGTGAATTACAATAATTATTTTAGAAGATATTTGATGGACACTTCCTGACAAGACTGGAGACATCCTAGTACTTTGCAGAGACGGGGATGGGAACCACTCTTGTGGACTAGGGAAGTCCCTGACTTGAAGAAGACGTGAGAGGGCACAACAGGAGAAGGCGTCGTCAGGGCCTTGGAGAAAGGCACGTTCAGAAAGGCTCAGGGACTTGGGGTTTGGAGGGAGTTTTGGAGGGAGGAGCCATTTCAATCCTACAGTTTTGGGCAATACCATTGAAAGAAATCCAAAGCTGCAACATAAGTAAGCAGTAAAAGAGGGGCAGAAAGCAGAAAATGAAAAAAAAAAAAAACACACACACACAAAAAAAAAACAAAAAGAAACTCAATTGCTATGAGATAACCACAATGTCCATCTTAATCAAATGAAGGTGAAATTTATTATCCTTTGGTAAAATCCTTATCTTTTAAGTTATCAGGGAAGTTTGCCTGATTGAAATATTTCTTTTTGGGAGGCAGTTTCAATGCACTGCTGAAGGTTCAGCCACTTTTTCTGCTGTTGTCATGACAACCACCACCTGACCCCAAACCTACAGTATCTTTTGAACATGTAGCTGTTCCTATTACATTTCTCAGCTAAGTATAATTATTTCCTCTCTTCTAAAAAACTAACAACAACTAAGAAAGAAAAATAGTATAATCCTATTGATGACTGTGAAAAGAATCTAGTATTTACATAAAGTGGCAGACCCAATGTTTGGTGAGTGAGCAGAGATGTATATATGTGCCATATTTACACTCATTTCCATTTTAAGATTGTACGTTATCACATTCATTTAAAAATATACAACTATAGAAGAGGTCACAACAGACCTTAAACTTACAAGATTAAAAAGGTTTTTAAGCTCTAGTTATTTGGACTTTCTCTTTGGATAGAAGGCTACTTTAAGAAACCGTGAAGAGAAAAACACTTTAAAAATTTCAGTGATGGATATGGATATTTTGGTATATTTTCAATATAAATGGCAAACAAGCCGAAAACATACCCCCTATCTCCACTTGGGCCTAAATACTGAATTGAGGGTAACTTACAAAAGCTTTGTAATCACATGACTGGAAGATAAGCTTCTCTGGGTGATGCTGCCAGTACTGTACCGGAGTGGAGGCTGTGGCTTCATTCGGAGGTCGCAAGGTAATGGAAGGTTCTCCCCAGTCTCCTGTCTGAAAATGACATTTATTCTAGAGGCAATATGAGCAGTCAGCAAAGTTCATTCCCTATAGCTACCCTGAGCTCACCTTACACACATGTGCTGTGAATGTGCCAGTGCATTTGGGTGTCTTATGTGAATATAAATACTTTGGTTATTACATTTTTATACGTATTAGCATATTTCTCAAGGCTGAGTTAATTTTTGAGGTGTGGAGTTGAATTATTTTATTTTTAGAATGACACCCTAAGCTAAGTCACTTTAAAAAAAACATGAAGATATTCATAAATGATTTACTAATCACAGTTTTCCATCACAACAGCAAAGGACATACAATCTTTGAAAGAATTTTCTGTTTTTAACTTGACTGAAATTTTTAGTTTGAATTGCTTTCACATTCAGAACACACGGTTCTATAAATTTCAGTTCCCAAATATGACATGTACTAGCCACTTTGAATAATTTTAGATCTCTGGAGAAATGGTAGTGTAAGCATGATGCTAAACAAAATTTAAAAATTTACTAATGGGTGACAACGAGTTTCTCTCGTCTGAATTCAACTGCACTGATTTAATGATGCTGTGATTGTCTCAGATGTATTCAGCTACTTTTCTCAGAAAACTTAATGTACCAATGAAGACTAAACAGTGAAATGCCAAGTTTGGTCACCCGTACATATGCATGTGCTTTGAGGATTCTGATTCACAAATACAAGCACATTCCCAAATGATGGTCTATCATATCATACAGACCTAAAACAAGAGGACCTCCCATCATTTCATTTATCATTTTCCATAAGGTTAGCCTCAACCTGTTTCATCACTATAATAGCTTAATGTGAGCATCTATAAAGTCAAAGGCCAGTGTTGGCAGGTATTTTCTGGGCTCTACTCTGATTTACATACTACACATGAGATATTTCTTACTCTTTCTCCTGGGAAAGATTTGGATTTTTCAAAACTCAGCTCTTTGCTCTCAAATGGACATAACTAAAATTAAATAGGCAGATTTCTAGAGTTACTCTCATCTAACCTAGATTTGGCTATATATAGAACTATGAGAAATTACATTTCTCAGGAGTTGGAAGAGTATTAAAAGGTCTCATAAACTCCAAAACCAAATAAAACCTTAGTTAGAGAACAAGTTCCACAGAAGTGCTAGAAAGTGTGTTGACACACTGTGGGATTTCTTAAGGAGAATTTTTAAGGAGTCTAGGACAAGAATGCAAAATTTTGGATGCAGGTGTATGTTTTGGGAGAGAAAGGAAGTTCTCTGCTTCATTAAATTCTTTGAAAGAATCTAGAAACCCCAAAAGATTAAGACCCACAGTTCTCTAGGAATGGCATACACAGGGTGCATATTTTGGGGAGAACTAGCTCTCCAATTTTCTTTGTGCAGTTTGGACTTACATTAGGTGGCATATGAAGTAGCTGCCAATGATAAAAAGCCCTTTCTAGAGGACTTCAGTAACGCCGCAGGCTTTTTTTTTTTTTTTTTTTTAAATAGCAGTGGAGTGCCTGAAGCTTTTCTCCTTGAGATGGGTCACTTCGAATTGCAGGAAGAGAAAGTGAGCATCACGCTATTTCCTTGGCTTCTCACTGTAGTTAGTGTGTGACCAGTTGGAACTTCTTCGGCTCTTCTCTCCTGCTCTGTTCTCAGCCACTTTCTCCATTAGTTTGGTTTTGGTTGCTGATTTACTTTTACATTGCTTAATCCTTCTATTCCCTATCTATTGGTATTTTTTATTTTTGTACACCTTTATGGGGTATATGTGAAATTTTGTTACATGTATATTGTCTGTTGGCATTGTTAAGACTTTACTTGCAATATTAACTTTAGCATTTTTATCTGTTTTATTATCCATTCCTGACTCATTCTTGAGTTTTTCTTTTATATTTATATGAATTTTTAGTTTGTATAAGTGATAACTGACTGCAATTCTAAAACTAGATTAAGTTTTTCTTTGCCTTCTTATTTTGATTTTTTTCTTTTCCTTCTTTCTCAAATGGCTGGCTCTTTATTCTCTCTCTGGTCTTTATTTCTCTGGTCTTTATTTCTGGCTGTAACTTACAAAAAACTAGTATAAAATTCAAAATATAGGATATGTGGATTTCAATATCATTTTGAAGCTGAGTATAATCACTTTTAAGTGATGATAGCTTAAAACTCTGGAAACATGCAGCTATGGGTTCTCAAACAAAAGCTTTACCCAAATCTAGCAAATCATCCTCTAATCTCCCCCATTAAACTTCTCCCTCCTTCTCCCGCTCCCTCGGTAAAGCAACAACAACATGGCAAACAGGTATTGTACATTTAAGTCACAGGTAACACTGTTAACAAAACAACAGAAGTTTGCATGCAACTCCGTGGAATGATGAAAAAGGAGGATCTGGTTGGCTTCCAAAGATCCTTTGATCCAGTGTCTGCTGATGTGACAACTCAAACCAAGCATCAGATCTTCATGTGAACCCTATTACAGTTCAGCAGAGGTAGACCTTGGCCAAGCTCAACAGGCAGTTTTCAAAAAAGTCTGAACATGGCATGAGCTGGTGGTGCCATGAGTTGCAGGGCCAGGGCTGGGAATAGGACTAGGGGTGAGAATGAGTTGGGGGAAGCTAGGGTTATGAAAACATTTCACGTGTTAGTACATTAAGCATGCAAATCATATGCAAACTCATTCTCTAATTGTTCAATTAACTCACACACTTTTATAATTAAACTTTAATGTGAGTTCCATACATTTAAAGCCAGAGCCACAGCCAAATGCTGATCCAAATATTTACATCATCCACATAAGTTGTAGCAGCCACTGTGGGAATAACCAGCCCCGGCACATACATTCCAATCTCGGTCTGGAAATCACTGAAATCCCTTATTTGATAACCACTTGAAGAAATTAGTGGAACATTCACTTAAATCTGTTTAGACAGCGCCATCATCTGCTCTCCTATGACTCCACTTTGTCCAAAAATCACAAACCACTTGCTTTGAATTGAGAGTGATCTGACAGGATCTTCCCTAGGTGCTGAGGTGGGAGATAATTACAAGGAAAAGAAATATAATCCTTATTTCATTTTCTTTGTGGCCTTCAAACATTGCTTCAGTTCAAATATTGTTAAATTCCCTATGGGGACTGAATCTACCTTTCTGGAAAGAGACACTGAATTTTATCATATTTAGTGCTATTTCCAGAAATTCGTTTTGAAACAGAAGGAAAAGTGTTCTTAAGATTGAATTTATTAGAAAATAATTTCTTTTCTGCCTGGAAATTAATCAACTTCTCTCCCTGCCCCTGCCTATTTTTTTTTTTTTAAACTTAGATCTAAAAATATTTAGAGGACTCAATTTGTAGATGTTAATTCTTCTTTTTGGAATTAATTTAATGGGAATGGATGGACTCCAACAACTGGACTTAACACTACACTGTTGTAAAGGACAGGTATGACCTTGGCCCTTGGCTGGGATTCAGCTTTACCTGGTTGACTGCCAGTAAGAACAAAAGAGTTCAGAGAACAAGGGTGCCTTAGGTCTCAACCCTCCTGGAGGCTGAATTACAGCAGGAATGAGCTATGGAGGAATTAGGTAGAGTAGTTACTATATGGAACGGAAGAAGAGGTCAAAAAAGAAATAAAGATTTTTGCCTCATACATAAAATCATTTTGAACTTTAAAACCTAGTGTTGGGTCTTGTCGACTAGTACATTCATGTCTACATAATACTTGCATCTCCTTAGGCAAATATTTTTAAATTTAGTAATTTTTCACTTAAGAATGCTTATTAAATATTAAATAACAGACCTAAGAAGTCTTTGGCCTCAATAATGGTTTATAATTAAAGCTTATCTTTAATGAAAAGTAGACCTAAACACAGCTAACAATGCAATATTTAATTAGAATAACAAAATGAAGTAGGAAAAGTTTAGGGTAGAATTCTGTCATATTTTGAATTATTATTGACACAGTAGTCTTTGAAAGGATTCCTTAAGTAATTATAAATGAGAAATTAAAATGATTCAAGGTACTCCTAATAAATGTCTTCAGGCTATCCCTTTGGCACTTAAAATATTTACAGAAAATCTTTCCTTTAGGTTCATGTATTTGAATGATCTTAATATGCCAAGAATTTTGTCATGGCTTAAAACTTCATTTATTTGGTATTTATTATTATTTTTTAGATGTATGCTTAAGGCCTTTTCTTTTTTTTAATAAGCACACTAAAGAACATCAATTAAACAGAGGAAAATGTACATCATTAGCTCTCTTCTTCAAACTCAAATAAAAACTAAACTGCTAACATAAAGAAAAAAACAATTTGAGATTAGAATTTTAAATGGAGAATTGATTCTGTTTAACACGTGTTTGCAACTGCCAGCTACAAATTCATAGTCTGGGTGAGTTTGAAGGACTATAATTGGACCACATCTAATATAATGTAATTAAATTAAACATTCTCTTATACCAACAACTGAAAAATACAAAAGCATCAATGGAATTTAGTTAAAAAACAAAAAACGTCACAAAAGTCTATAGAGAGATTTTTAGTGGATGGCAGATTCCAAATTGCAGCTTTTAAACTTTGCATTATTTCAACAGCTGGTAAATAGCTGCAAATTTTAAGTTCACATGCACTGGATGCCTATGGCAAATTCTAAAACAAATCGTATCAGGTAGCTCTCTCCCTCCAAAAGGGAAACTGAATATTACATATTCTATATGCTCTGAGAACACAAAGGAAAAACCTTCTCTATGTTATTTTCTGTCTTTTTTTTTTTTTTCGAGATAGAGTCTCTTGTCACCCAGGTTGGAGTGCGATGGCACAATCTGGGCTCACTGCAACCTCCACTTCCTAGGTTCCAGTGATCCTCCTGCCTCAGTCTCCCAAGTGGCTGCGATTATAGGCATATGCCACCACACCTGGCTAACTTTTGTATATTTAGTAGAAACAGGGTTTCACCATGTTGGCCAGGCTGGTCTCGAACTCCTGGCCTCAAGTGATCTACCCGCCTCGGCCTCC